GACAAATAAATAAAATATTGGAATAAATATATATTTATTAAAAATATATATTGTTATATTAATATTTATTTCATGATATTTTTTAATATATTAATATTTACTCTGATTAACCTTAAAATCGATATTTTGTAAAATATTGAATTTTTAGGAAATAACGAATATTGAATATTGTATTTTTCTTCAAAAAAAGAATAGTAAGATTCGAGTTTTATTGTTTTAATTAAATAAATATTCAATAAAGATAATAATATATAAAAATTGTGAAAAAATAAATAGTTAAAAACTGCAACATTTTTAATATTATAATATTGCAAAATGCCTTTTTTATTAATTCATTAAACTCTTAAAAATCTTTAACCTTATATTTTACATCACCTTATTCAAAATTGCAAATAATTGTTGCATTTGTTCTAAATTTATTATTGATTCATTGTTTGAATTGCTTGCTAGATTGTTTATAATATCTAAAATTTGTTTATTTTCAACAAGTTTATTAAATAAATTCAGATTTGCAAGAATTTCTGGTGTAATTTGTTCCTTTTTTTTCTTTAAACAAATCTGAAAAAGCACTTTTTAGATATTCAGATGAACCAAGGAATTTTAAAAATGATGTCATTAATTCAACATTTTTTTTATGATTCGAAATATGTGACATGATGTCATTGTGCATGTATTTTATATCAATTGTTTGGAATTCATTTCTCAAATCGTCAGGTTTTTCAATTAAATAATCAAGAACTGATTGCTTAATTTCATCGGATTCTCTAAATATAATTAGATAATCAAATAATTTAACAAGTAAACTTTTTTCTATTTTGGTGTCATAAATTATTTTAATCTCTTCTTTATATTTTAATTGTCCAAATAAATTTGGGAAAATTTTGCCAAATAAATTTGTGGAGTATCTATATAAAATTGTTAGGTTTTTATATATGTCTTGTCTGTCTCCATCTCTAATTTGATCAATATTTGAAAGACTTGATATTTTTTGTTTTATATCATCCAAAATGATATTAATGACATTTTCTATTAGCGTTGATGACCAGCATTGATTCTCAGGCAATTCTTTATTTGTATATTTGATTTGGTCGACAAGGAAATAGTTGATAAATTCAATCATTTGTTTTAATTTTTCATTCTCATATGAATATTGGAAAAATATTGAATAAAAATCGAATCGATATTTTTCAGGCTTACTTATTAATTTCTCAATTTTATTATTGACTGAATTAGACAAATCCATATAATCATAAGTGCTTGCTCTAATAATATTTGAAAAATCATCAAGAATCAGTATTTCCTTCAAATCTATATTGAAAAGAGTTCCCAGAATTTTTTTCATATCTTCATCTTTAATTCCATCTTTATAAAGCGAGTCAGCATAACAAAGTTGATAATTTTGATTAGGAATTATTTTTTCATTTTCAAAATAATTTGTATAATATTTCTTTAAAAATTCAATAAAATCTTTGATAATATCAATGTTTTTCTTAATATCATAATTTTGAATCTTGTTATTTAATTTTTTAACAACATGCTTATCTGCTCTATCAAACATTTCCAGGAGATCATGTAAAATAGATTGATATAAACCATATTAAATGATTGATTTAATAATGAATTTGAATATTTAAATATTGATTCTCTTTTTTCTCTATCTTTTTCTACAATATACATCATAAATTAAATTGAATTATCTTCATTTATTTTATCTTTGATTTTTTGAATTGCCTTTTTAGTATTGAATTGGTCAAATTCAACATTTTTGCTATAATATAAATAATTTATACTTGGATGAAGCATTTTCTTATTATAATCAAAATTAATGATGGATAACATGTCAAAGAATTCTTCAGATAAATTGAAATTATAAATTTTCTTTTTTGGCACAAATTTTCCATTTTTGTTGATCAGGATTTTGTTTTGACTAAAAATAAAATCATAATCATTCATTTTCAAGATAAAATCGATAACTTTTTTAATAAAAATTTCTTTTGAATTCGATTTTAATAAATGCAAATAATATATTGTATCGTGTTTAGATATGAATTCGATTAATTCATTTATGCTAATTTTAATTTCGAAATCTGACCATAAAACTTTTGACCAATTAGCAAAATGCTCATATTTGACTATATGCTTTGATTCATATGAAATGTAAGAAAATAAATCATAAAACTCTTTATAAATCTTATTTTTGTTTTCTTTTTCCAATTTTTCCTTTTCAATTTGGGAAACATTATCATATTTTATATTCGTAATAGAAAAGTCGTAATAATCATTAATAATTGGAATAAATACTTCATCTATTTTTTTCATCCCTGCATATGTTTCGAAATTTGGAACTTTTGATATTATTTCCTTCATTCTTTTAGTGAAATTGTTTGCTATAAAAGAATTTGATTCAAAAGATAAACCGCTACATAAATTAAATAAATCTGTACATTATGCACTGATAATGAAATGTACAGATTCAAAAGATAAACCGCTATATGATCAAATAGTTCATTATTTGATCATATAATTTAACAACTTCTGAGATAATGAATTTATTAATTGATGATCCATATCTATCATGAAAATCTTCATCAAATTGAAATATTAATTTATTCCTTTCTTTCTCTGGCTCAAAATCAGGAGAATTTATAATAACAGGAGATTGAAATTGATTCATACCCAATAATGGCATTGAAAGAAACAAAAAATCACTATGATTTATTGGAATTATATTGTTGTTTATACCAATAGGTAGTAAACAATCAATTTGAACATCTTTTATTATATCCTCGAATTCAAATTTTTCTTTTGAATTGAAATACAAATATCTGCATTGTTTTATGCCTCTTCATTTGTTGCTTTCAATTATAACAGATTGAATATGATCATTTTCATGTTTAGCAGTATATGTTAAAGTTTCGTGTTCTTTTTCATTTTCGATAATAATTGATTCAATTAAGTTATTTAAAATTAAAACAATTGGAGCTTTATTTTTTAAACTGTGGTATCCAATATTATAAGCTTTTGCACTAGTATCATTTTCAAAATCTATATCATATTCAAATGATGGTTCTCCTTTTATTTTATCACTTTTATAAAAACTTTCTTCCATATTTTCAACACCTTTTTGAAGCTCTTCTGCGCTTTCTCCTTTTCTGTCAATATCAACATCAAATGAATATATTTTTTCTATTCCTGAGGCAGTTGTCTTAACATCACCGGAAATATGATATTTTCTAGATAATATTGTAGCTGATAATGCACCTGTTCCGAATCTTCCAATCGATTTATTGTCTTCTTTTCCTTCACTACATTGATATAATAATGCAAATAAAGTTTCAGTTGTAAATTCTGATCCATTATGAGTGAAAATAACACTATTATTAGTAAACCGATATTTTAATGCCACCTTTTTATTAGAATCTCTAACTGTATCAATTCCATTTTGAATTAATTCAAAAGGCCATCGTTGAAAATCATTAAATTTTTTTCTTCTGAATTATAATTTATATGCTTCATGCAAAATATCTGATATTTATAAAAAAATATCATTAACTTCAATGCATCTTTACTTATACAAAACATGTTTTTTTTTTCATTAATTAAAGATTTTATTGTAAATTGACATTTTCAATCCATTGAGAAATAAAATGCTGATTATCAAAAAGATATTTTGCTTGGTATTCTGACAATTGATTGGCACTTTTAATGGTTCGATCATTGTCTCTATTCATTTCATGAAGTATTGAAATGAGAGCCTTTTTATTTCTTTAGTCATATTAGAACGATCTTTTACAAATTTTGAAACAAACAATTGTTTTCCTCTTATAAAAATAAAGAAGGACATATCAAGACACTTCTCTGCATCTTCTTTTCTTTTGAAATGAACAAATCCATATGGATTATAATAAATTCCAAGTAAATCAATGTATTCAACTTCACCAAATTGTTGAAATTTGTATTCTAATTCATCTTCGGAAACATCTTTATCCAAATTTCTAAAGAAGAGGATTTTATCTTTGTTTTTTTCATATTTTAACTTACTTTCCTTTGTAAATTTCTTACAAAGATAATTATTTCTATCATTCATGCTCATATATCGTCTACATGAAATTCCATTGCCATCAATGATTTTTCCGTTAAGGGCGTGATTTGCTCTTTCAACTTCTTCAGCTGAATCTAATGTGCAAAATCCAAATCCTTTATTTTTACCATAATAGTTTTTTGGAAGACTTGCATAAATAACATTTCCATATTGTGCAAAAAGGTATTTCAAATCTTCTTCTGTTTTAATTGATTCTGGTATGTTTTCAATATAACATACATTTATGAATTCATTTGAATTTTGATTGAATTTATGTGCTATACGCATATGAATTTTTTTCCATTTATTTCTTGGCCACTTAATTCTTGGACTGCTCTACGTGCGTTTTTATTCTCTCTGAATTGAACCATGCCATTTCTATAATTAGATTGTCCTTTGATTGAACAAAATATTACTTCACCGTATTTCGAAAATATTTTTTCAAGCTCGGCTGCTTTAATTGATGAATTATAAAGCTGGACATTGATGAAACCTTTGCCACTGATTCTAATTTGATTTGTTTCTGGATCTGCTAACGTGATGTTAATTGGGATATTATCGAATTCTGTATAATTTAATATTTGTCGAGCATTATTTGCTTCTTCAATTGTTTCAAAAGAAACAAGTGCTGAATAAAAATGATTATTTTCTTTTTCACTTTGGTATGGATTGTAATGTATGGATATTCCATTTGGAATAATTCTTCCACATTTTTGCAAACATATACATTGATTTTATTCATATGAAAAAACATTGTGGAAATTGATGTTATTATTATTAATTGATTGATCCAATAATCTTTCTTGAGTAAACATTCCTAACAAATTATTCTTATGGCAAATTGGAAAAAAAAAATCAATAAATTCTGAATACATGAGATGAGATAAAATATAACATTTAATAGCTAAAATTACCAGTTCCGCTCTTAGCTCAGTGGTAGAGCATCTGACTGTAGTTATTTGGTTATCAGAAAGTCGCCGGTTCGATTCCAGCAGCGCGGATTTTTTGATATTTTTTTTTTTGTTTGTTTGTATTAAATTCGTCGGTTTTGAATATCTTGATGTAACAACTTTTTAACTTTGTATTGCATTTAAAAAAAAAGAATATTAGATTAAATGAAATTGTAATGAGGTTTTTGGTTGAAAAAAATTATAATTGAACAGAAAATTGTGAATAGATTGCATGAAAAAATGATGGATGAAAAGAAAAAAATATTTTGATAAAAATCTCAATGATAATACATTTTTGAATTTTATTCAAAATTTTATCATTTTGTGTTATGAAAAAATTCAAAGGGTGGCTCATTTTGATATTCCTGGTCATTGATACAAGATAAAAACCGAAATACAATCGTCAACTAGCTCAAAAAAAAAAAAAAAAAAAAAAAAAAAAATTCCCTTTTTATTACATAATTTTATATATTCGACTTGAATGGACTTTGTAAAGAAAGAGAAGCAAATTCAAAGACAATTTCAAGAGGAAAAACATTCAAAAGAAAGAAAAATATAGTAAGTAACAATTTTTTTTTTTTTTTTTTTTATAATTCTTCTTCAATTTGTAAACATAAATAGTTATTCAATGTATTAGGATTCAATCTAAATTTGTAACCAAAAAATGCCAAGAACGCGATATTTATTACATCGATAATTAAAACAATATAATAATCATACAAAAAAGTGTTTTCAATTGAATAAAAAGTATAAAACAAAACATACATAATAGACATAACGAAAATTTCAACTGTGAAGCAACAATTCAGAGTTTCGGAATTGAATCCATATGTCAAAATCGTCGACAAAAAAAGATCAATTTCCCAGAATGAAATAATCGCGATTGTCTTGAAATCAAAATCATCAAAATCAAAATCCCAAGTTTCATCAAAATAATCAGTCTCCATCAGACATTTGGCCAAATTATAACTAAAAATCACATTAAAGAAAAGAATGACAAATTTCGTTCTTTCAAAAGTATTCATGAAGAATTGATTTTCAATGGTCAAAAAAGAGGTCAATATATATGTCAATGATAAAAGCTGAAACAATTCTCTATATGGTTCATAATGAGAAGGATTGTCGGATTTATTTTTCTCAATTGTTTCAAGTAAAAAAAAGAATTTTTGAAGAACAAAAAAGAAAAAAGAAAAAGAAAAAATTGTATGAATTATGTTTTTCATTGTAAAATTTTTCACCCAATTAATTAACCACGCTATGAATAATATCATCGATATTAATGTAATAATCGGATTTATTATGAGCGTGTTTTGAACATTGGAACTTAGACATGAATTTGGATTTTTGTATATTAATTCAAAAGAAAATTCACTATGGAAATATTCGCATGATAAAACTGTTGTGTTATATTTGCCTCCTTTTTTTATTGTTCCGTTTATTGTATTACTTGTTTTGTTTAACTGTGTAATATGATAATAATCAATTGGAATGGTTACATTGCACGGGAGATACAAATTTTGTTCTGACATATATTTTTCCATGTCTTCTTCAGTAGCAATTAAAAAAATAAATTTGTCATCTTCATTATTTTTTATATCAATCGAGTATTTTGCATCTGTTTGAAAACCGAATAAAAATGGGATGCTAAACTGTCTTTTGTTTGGTCCGATATGAAAAGAAAAGCGACCAGCGATTATTAAAGATAAAATAAAAGACATAATTTAAAATTTTTAAATTTGTGTAGTTTATATTTCATAAATCTCATAAAAAGTTTCATAAAATTTATCAAAATGGAAGAAGTCTTTCAAACTTTTCAAAATCTCAAAGAAAATCATTTAATCCAAACAGAAAATCCTAATCTAAATGAAACGCTTTATGAATTCTCTTTTCTTCTTATCAAGGATGATATTCAATTTGATTTTATGATAAATCCAAAGAAAGAAGGAACAATCGTCATTGATGAATGCAAATACTCAGATAATACATACATGATTATTTGTTTTAAGAAAACATTGGTTCTTATTAATGAAAACAATTTTGAAAGTTTAAAAAATTTTATAAATGCAAACAAAGAATCCAATTTTTTTACATTTCGTTTAGAAACATCGAAGAACATTTTAATAAAATATTGTTTGAATGTTGTCATCATTGATTCAACGATTCAAGACGATACACAGGCGTTTCAAAAAAAGTTTTTGATAAAAAACAAAAATTTGTTAAATATTTGGAAAAGAATCTCAAAGAGCATTTGTTGTTTATTATTAGTAGAAGGCTATGAAAATTCATTCACAGATCGAATACTAAATGCGAATGAATTAATTAAAGGAAATTCAAGTGTAATTAAAGACAATGAATACATTGTCATTGATACAATAAATTCAACAGCCACATCAATAATTGAAAAGATATATCATTTGAAAAAGAGAAAATATTTTATCATGAAGACAAGAAAAAGAGTGCATGAAAGAAATAAATTAAATAAACGAGAATTTAGTAATTACAAAAAAGTTCATCATCCATTTTTATTACAATGTTATTCAGGAGATGAAGATCAAAATCAAGAAGCATTAATTCTTGAATTTATCAATGGATCAACATTAGGTAACATTCAAAACTTGCATTTAAGCAGTAAAGATAAAGAAAAAATCATTTTTGAAATCATTTTAGTATTAAATTATCTTCATAATCATCATTTCATATATCGTGATTTAAAACCAAACAATATCATGATTGACAAAAACAAGACAATTATTCTTATCGATCTTGATCGAATGATTGAAATTGATGAAAAAGAAATTGAGAATAACAATTATCAAACAATAATATTTCATTCTTATTCATCACCTGAATTAGAAGAAGGACAAATAGTATCAAAGAAAACTGATATTTACTCACTTGGCATGCTTATGTATTATATCGTTTTTGAAGAAGAGCCAAGCATTTCAAAAATTCATGAAAAATTTTCTGAAAGAGACAATAAATATATTCCAATTCTTAATTTAATTAGTAATTGCGTAGAAGAAAAAGCAAATGAACGACCAAGTATCACAGAACTACTAAAAAATTTCTATATTAATTTTTATTCTAAAACCGCAGATAAACTTATAGAAACAATAGCAATTTCTAATATAAAAAACATTGAAAATGATGATTATATTGAGTATTTGTTGTACATTGCAGAATATGTGAATCCATATTCATTATATCAACTTGGAAAAATTTTCAAAAAAGGTCGTGTACTTCATAAAAATATGGTCAAAGCTATTCACTATTTTGAGGAAGCAGCCAAAGAAAATCACTTAGATTCGCAATATCAACTTGGTAAATTTTTTCAAAGTGATGAAAGTATTTTTCAAGATATTTATAGATCGATTTTTTATTTGACATTAGCATCAAATCAAAATCACTTGAAATCACACATTTTACTAGGTTCTGTTTATTATTTTGGAAAAATTGATCCAAAAGATGTCAATAAATCTATTCATTACTATACACTTGCTGCAAATCAAAATAATGATGAAGCACAGCTTAATCTTGGCTTAATATATTTAGATAAAGAAAGTGGTAAATATGATATAGATAAAGCAATTTATTATTTTGAACTTGCTGCAAATCAAAATAATGATGAAGCACAGTTATATCTTGGCTCAATATATTTAGATAAAAAAAGTGGTAAATATGATATAGATAAAGCAATTTATTATTTTGAACTTGCTGCAAATCAAAATAATGATGAAGCACAGTTATATCTTGGCTCAATATATTTAGATAAAGAAAGTGGTAAATATGATATAGATAAAGCAATTTATTATTTTGAACTTGCTGCAAATCAAAATAATGATGAAGCACAGCTTAATCTTGGCTTAATATATTTAGATAAAGAAAGTGGTAAATATGATATAGATAAAGCAATTTATTATTTTGAACTTGCTGCAAATCAAAATAATGATGAAGCACAGTTATATCTTGGCTCAATATATTTAGATAAAAAAAGTGGCAAATATGATATAGATAAAGCAATTTATTATTTTGAACTTGCTGCAAATCAAAATAATGATGAAGCACAATTTTCTCTTGGTAATATTTATTTCAATGATATATTTCAACGATTTGATATCAACAAAGCAATTAAATTTTTTTTATTAGCTGCAAATCAAAATCATTTGAAATCACAATTATATCTTGTACATATTTATTATACAGGTGAATATATTCCTATAGATCTTGATAAATCAATACTTTATTTAAAGCTTGCTTCAAATCAAAATAATTCATTTGCACAATATTTCCTTGGCATTATTTATTTTTCTAAAAATATTAATAAATCAATAAATTATTTAAAACTTGCAGCAGATAATAATTTGGCAGAAGCACAGTATGTGTTAGGATATATATATTATAAATATAGATCTGATATAGCAGATATTGATAAAGCAATTTATTATTTTACACTTGCAGCAAACCAAAATCATGCAGATTCGCAATATTATCTTGGATGTATTTTCTATGAAGGTAAACATATTAAACAAGATATTGATAAAGCAATTTATTATTTTAAACTTGCAGCAGACCAAAATTATTTAGATTCTCAATATAAACTTGGTAACATTTTCTATGAAGGTAAACATATTAGACAAAATATTGATAAAGCAATTTATTATTATACACTTGCAGCAAACCAAAATCATGCGGATTCACAATATAAACTTGGTAACATTTTCTATGAAGGTAAACATATTAAACAAAATATTGATAAAGCAATTTATTATTTTATACTTGCAGCAAACCAAAATCATGCGGATTCACAATATAAACTTGGTAACATTTTCTATGAAGGTAAACATATTAAACAAGATATTGATAAAGCAATTTATTATTTTACACTTGCAGCAAATCAAAATCATGCAGATTCGCAATATTATCTTGGATGTATTTTCTATATAGGTAAACATATTAAACAAGATATTGATAAAGCAATTTATTATTTTAAACTTGCAACAGACCAAAATCATGTAGATGCGCAATTTCATCTAGGTTTAATTTATTATAAT